TAAAAATCTCCAAATGTATATCCTTAGCAAATGGAAAAAAAAAAAAAAAAGCACCTTTGAAAAGAACTGGGAGGATTTTTACATTGGCTGACTTCTAATTATAAAAATGCAGCTCACATAAACCCATACTGGATTAATAGTTTGTTAAACCTTTTTTTTTTTTTTTTAAATTATCTATAATGCATAATATTCTTGTATTAAAGAAAAGCGAAGAATCTATAACTAGATAGTAGGATGTATTTATTTTATTTTAGAATATGCAATTCATAAATGATCTGTGTGTATAGACCTAACAAGGTTAGGTTTTGGATTAAAGTAGGTATGGAGTTTTTGTATAGCTACTGATACTTGAAAAAGTCAGTTAGGGAAATCCAAACCTCTTGTATTTATCACTAATATTGTTGCTAAAATGAAGTGCCAAGATAGTAATACTAATAATACTAACCTTGATCACTGGAAAGTTGCCAGCTCTTCGTCATCCTGTAGAAATATATTATACTTGAACTGAGAAAACATGCAATTGTCCCTCCCCCTCCTTATTCCCACAAACTGGAACAGTATTATGTTAGCGTGAGTTGTGCTGAGCCGAATCCAATCTGGAATTAAGAATGCTCCAGGGCATTTTTAATAAACTGTCATTCATTTGAACTCTAACCTTTTTTAATTTGCAGAATCTGGTAATGCAGATGTATACTTCAACCACATTCATTTCTTTCTCTTTTCTTCTCTTGGTGTGAAACACTGCTGATTGGACTTGAAAATGTGAAGCTGCAGAAGAAGTAGAAAGTGTTCTTTTAAAATAGTCTCAAAACGAAGAAAGATTTATAATAGTTTAGTTTGCCGCTTTTCTGCCATTCTGAAATGTAAAGTTAATTCTAGTACTGATTTTAATACAGTCCTTGTAGTGCTGAGGTCAGTTAGGCTTTCTGAAAGTATGACAAAAAATAATGGCTTTTATTAGAAAAAGCAAAGGATAAAACGAGGCTGTCGTCTTGCAAAAGGGAAGAAAACCCAGTTGGTAACGCATTCAGGGCATAGAGCACTTAGTAGCAAAGAACTTTTTATTCACTGAGGTTCTCACAATAAACTCTTTCAAAGCAAGCATTCTTATTAATTCTTTAGCTGGTATCTAACACGGCAAAGTGTGTGATTAGAAGTAGTTAGCCTAAGAGATACGGGGGTGTGCGGGGGAGAGCAGGCTTTCGGCACCGGCTGCCTTGGCCGGAGGGGTGAGGAGCTGCTGCCTCCGGCCGCCCCCGGCGGTGCCGCTGCAGGCGGAGGGGCTGCGGCGGGGCTGCACCGGCACCCCCGGCTCGGGGGAAACGCGGTGGCGGTGCCTGCCCTGGCTTCAGCACGTGGAGGCATTTCAAACGCTGCTTGGATTTTAGAGTATGTTACTGATCAATAGCAATTCCTTTGAGAGGCTTTCCTGTGTCTCTGTGTAAACAAAGGTCTTAAGGATGCAGATGTGATAATTAAGGTAGAATAGGTGCTTCGGTTCGGGAGGAAAATGGCTGGAGCAGACATTACAGGTGACAAATATAGTTACGCATACAAACTTTATCTTGGTCCTTGGTACGATGATAAGAAAAGTATGTCAATGTGTGACTTGGTCCTTACTGGGCTTCACTGGGAGACTCAGTTCAATGTCCAGAGAGTGGAAAAACTTAAAAGAAACTGGAAGGCAGGACCATACCAGTCCTTTGGAGAGGAAAGAACTCCTGGGCACACATTATTCTCTAGATGAAGTGCCCCTAAATGCAGCAAAAGAAGCATTTGCCATAGGTCAGAAAGCTGAAATTTTGCACTAGTAATACTGGATTTGTTTCCATTTCTTACAGTAGGACTAAGAGGTAGTAAATCAACATTAATCCTTAATTTTTTCCTGCTATCATTTTAATTATAATATCAAAGAAGAGAACGTGTGCTTACATTAAGAATTTGGCTTATGTTTTACAATGCTCTCCCCCCTAGACTTCTATATCTAGATAATACTGCCTTCAGTGTTTAAAGTTAATTTTCCATTGTAATATATCTGCTGCAGCTATATAACAAGCATGCTGAGATGATTGTGTGTGCAACTTCAGCATTCACGCATTTACATTTGATAGTAGTTGATTAAAAAAAAATAAAAATCAGTTTTTTCTACACGTGCCTGCTAGTTGAATTCTGCTGTAGGTGTTGGTGAGACAGTTAACTAGGAAAACATACAACTCTGAACTTGAGGAATATTAAAAAAATGGAGGAAGAACTAGCTGGCAAATATTGTGTTGAAAGTGTAAATGAAAGTATAACTTTCAAGTCTGCACGTGTTAACGATTTGTGGTTTGAAAAAGTTTTCATATTTAAATTTTTAAAGGTTTTTCCCTTCTCCTTTAAACTTTGATCTCTTTTGTCTGGTAATATAAGAGTATGTTATTAATATACATTAACAAATCCGCAGCTTTGTTTTCCACAAGTCTTTAATTCCCTTAAATGTTTTATAATGTAACTGATGTGATAGATCAGAACCTAGGTGAGCATTCAGTCAGTCAACACGTTGGGTACTAAATTCAGCTGAACCTGTAGGAAAAGGAGGGCAATGATACTAAAGATACAGAAGTGTTACTATTCTGTCTTTTTATGTTTTCATCTGCCAAAGAAATCTGCACGTGTGGAGTGACTTGGTGTTTAAAGATACTGTCTCGAAACAAGAGTCTGTATGAATAAATGACTTTGCAGCCTGGAATCCTTACTACTATTTCTGTTAATGTACGTTACCTGGAATTAACTAACAGGCTGGAGGCTCAGCAGAAACTATATGCAATTTTTAAAAAACACAAGGATGAGCCTAAGAAATAACCCAAGAAAACAGGGAGAAATACCATGTTATGTTTTAGTAGTTGAGGCTTGTTCTTGTTGGAGACAGCATGGGTTTTTGTTCTTATACTAAAACAGAAAATGAAGTATCTGGTGTTATATTAGAAATTGAGTATATTTTCAAAGAAATATGATCTGTCTCTCTCCATCTGTTCTTTTTTTTCTTTTTATTCCCCCTCCCACCCA